AGGGGGGTGGGTTCGGCCGAATGGAATGGAACGGAACGGAACGCATCCAAGGGTATTTCGCTATTGATTTTCAATAGGAAACAAGCACTATTTTTACTTCCGCGCTCGAGAAGATTCGCCGAGGCTCGGGGGCCGATCGATCGAAAGAGCGCCCCGTGCGGTTTAGAGAGACGGCCGGACGCGTCGCGCCGGCCGGGAACGGCTGCCGCCGCGAGAGAGAACCCCCCGTTTCGGCCCGACGCGTACCGAGAAGAAAAGTCTGGGCGGTAAAGCACAGTTTCAAGGCGAATACAGGAAGCCTGCGTATCGACGTCGATTAGAGAGCTCGCCGGGGACCAGGCCTCCAGGCAAAGGTGGTGTCCGTGCGAATATCGATCGCAGCTCGCGTGCCACGATACGTATCACCCCGGGTCTCTCGGTGTCGGTACACGTTCGACGAGCGACGTCGGAACCGGTACAATCGACAGGTTACAGCAGAAACACGGAGATCGATTAAATTTCTCGACGGCGCTCAGTGGGTCGAATATTGTGTCCTTCGGGAAAATCCAGCAAAATGTCTCTCCTCCCTTCGGTACCTCGGAGCTAGGTGTTATACTATATCGAGCCCTACTTTCTCCGAACTTTCCACGAAAACATGGAAGCGACTGTAGAGACAATAAATTAGACTTGCCATCGTTTTTTACAACAGTCGAATTATCAACCCTTTGCACTCTTAGGCAAATTGTTATATCGATTAAAATTGTTATATCACGTTCTAAGATCATTTTTATATCATCGAAGCTTACATTCTAAACATTATTAAAAGTGTTAGCTGTCGCATGAATCGCGAGACTCGATTTCGTATGCATAAAATGCACTTTGTCTTGCAAAATGGAAATACCGTAGGTCGGAAAAGTTATTTTAGATTTACAGTTAAAATGGCTTCGAGAGTGCAATGGGTTCAACTCCGATCCGAATAAGAGATACAAGTTCTTTCGTTTCAGGGAGGAAACGAATCCAGGCCTGCTGCGCAGCGAATCCAGGTGCGTCGAGGGTTAGTCCAGGTGCACGGACGTCTGGGGGCGCCGATCGAATCCTTCTCCTGAACGCCCGCGACCGAACTTCGCCTCCTCCCTTCGTTTCACGTTTTAAGCAAGAAACGAGTACTCGAGGATCGATAAGGGGGCTGCTGGCTGGTCACGACGGGGAACTGGTTTCCGTGAAACCGTAACGATCCGAACTACAAAGCCAGACCACCGCGTGCCACAGGTGGCAGCGTAGGGGTGGTGTTACGTAGGTGTTACGTGTTCCGCAACCCCTTCTCCCACCCCTCTCTCTCACTCTCTCTCTCTTTTTTCTTGCTTCTTTCGATCTCTTTCCATATTCTTCCAATGAGAGTCTTCTCCGTTCGAAGGATCGTAGAAATTCAGCGGCTTAGAGTTTTCTTGAAAACCGATGCGAGATGCACCGATCCGTTGTATTGGGTTGTCCGAAAAGTTCGTGCTGATTTTGAAGGAAAATTGAAGCGCAAGAGATCTAAATTTTAGTATACATTTATCATATTATATATATATATGTATACGTAGGTTTCATTCTTTTCTACAACCTTTCTCCATCTTTCAGGCAACTTGAAAATTCCGTCCTGTCAGTATCTCTCAGGTTTCTCAGCGAAAAACTTTTCTAAGTGATTTTTTATCTTGACCAAAGAGTCGAAGCTTTTTACCGCCAAGGGAATTTTGTAACGATCGAAATAGGTGGAAATCAGAGGGCGCAAGATCTGGCGAATACGACGGATGGGGTAGAACATCTCGAACGAGCTCCGACAACTTTCGTCGAGAAGCCGCGCGCTTTGTTTTCTTTCATATTCGAA